GGAATTACTCAAAATTTCACTAATGAAATCACAACCGTCCATTAAGTGAAAATTGTTCCTAGGCTAATTTTACCATTGTGTGGGTCTTCGTAATAAGTAGTACGTAAAATTTCACGAGTTTATATCAGTCACACGATGTGTCACATGTAAATTTTTGTATTATAGTCAAATGATCGACGTATCTAAAATTTCATATGTAAAGTTGCGTCCCGGCTTTCGTATAGTGGTAAGAAGTTGTTATTTTAATTCGGTTAGCATTTGAAGGTTCTTCATGTAAATTTTAACGGTGATTAAAAATAAAATTATAATTAATCAAAGCCTTAAAGTTCGCTTATTTTTTCACGATTTACATATTAATGGTGAGCAAAACAGTCAACAAAATTGACGTACGCAAATATAGGTCAGTCAGTTGTCATATGTCTAATCATAAACCCGCGTCAATTTTGTTGATTGTTTTGGTAAAATGAGATGCGTCACAATATTGCAAATTAGAGGCCTGCATTGGGTCCCGGGCCGGTCATCAAAAAAATTTTAACCCTAAATGCGGGCCGGGCCTCAAAAATAGGCAATTTGCAGGCCCCTATAGGGTTGTCAAATTACCGTAATTTACGTAATTTTATGTAATTTTGTGTAAATTTTCAGTAAACTGATTTTCATGTAATTTGTAATTTTGAATACATGTAATTTTTTAATATAACTCCAGGGCTGTGTTCAATATTTTATGATCATAAAAATTAAGAATCACATGCATTAAATAATATTTGTAATATAAATAGTATTCTAAAATATGTGTTGCACCAGGTTTTGAATATAGAGCTATGTAATAATCATTCTGTAATAGTTGTTTGCTCAATTCATTATAATAATTGTTCACTCAATTCATTGTAATAATCATTTGTTCAATTCATTAAAGTTATTTATAAACAAGTTTGAAATATATCATTTATAATAAATTAAAAATAGTTCTGAATGAAATGTGAGACTAATATATTAAGCAAATTGATGAAAAAGAAAAAGAACATTACCAGTATAAAGCATATAATAAAGAATGAACAAAAAATGTAACTTGATTACAAGAGCATTTAAAAACCTATACTTTAAAAAATTTAATATCAAATGAGTCATCTGAATCATTAAGTACTAATAAGAAATGAAAACAATCAGCTTCAGGCAACTTTGCTCAACAAGATCAAACAGAATTAGAATCATTGCTTGCCCATGTTTTTTTTACTTCTAGAATTCCATTTAATGTAATTAAAAATAAGGATTTTCATATTTTTCTTAAAAAAGCTTGTTCTTCTTTTAAAATTCTATCATGCAATACTCTTTCTGGTTTGTTTTTTAATAAGAAATATGCTGATCTACAGATAGTTGTTCAAAATATTTTTGATGAATTACCTTATCATTGCTTAGTTAGTGATAGTTAGTCAAATGTTAATAAATCATCTATAATTAATTATATGATTACTATACCTGCTCCTATCTTTTACAAGTTGGTTTATACTAATGAAGAATGTTATACAGCTGAAAATATTGGTAAAAGAATTGAAGATGTAATGAAAGAAATTGAAATTAATAAATTTGTTAGTATAATTATAGATAATGCAAATAATATGAAAGCCTCATGAAATATTTTAAAGATCAAATATTCTGATAAAGTTTTTCTTAGATGCTGAGCACATGGAATTAATCTTTAGATTAAAGATATTCTTAAAAACGAATAGACTGCACAAATCTTAAAAAAAACTAAAAATCTAATTTTATTTTTTCATAATTATTTAATTCCGTTAGCTACTCTTTATTATTTACAAAAAGAAATCTATAATCTTAAAATTGCATTTATTCTAACTATTGATACCAGGTAGATGTCTTCTTATGAATGTCTTGATCATATTCTGCGATTACAGTCTGCAATATATGTTATATTAGCAGAGGATAGCATTAAAATAAATGATAATATTAAAGAAATAATTTTAAATTATGGATTTTGGATGGATCTTAAAAAACTACATGGTTTTTTAGAACTGTTTATTATTTTTATATGCCAATTGGAAAGTGACAAGTCATACCTTTCATCAACATATAAAATTTTGCAAAACTTAAAAAATATGATTATTAATAATTTTCAAATTTCTGAAGAACTACATGATGATACTATGTAAGTAACTAAGAATAGATGGGTTAACTTTTTATATAATCTAGCTGTTATTGTTGCATATATTCTTGATTCAAGATATCAGGACGAAAGTTTTGATTCTACTATATAGAGAAATATAGTTAATGTTAAAATACTTAGAATCAAGGCAAGAATTCTAAATTGGTCAAAATTTTTTAAATTTGATTAATAGTATATTTATATAAATAATCAATTAAACCTTAGTTGGTTATTGATAATTAAGTATTTAATATATATATATATATATGTATATATATATGTATTGTATATATATAGTTTTTTTTTATATACTAATAATTGGATTACTAAATGCAGGTGCCGATAATGAAGATCAAGTATTGAATAAGTTGTCTGAATATATTGGGAAATTAGAAGGTTTTGCTAAAAATTATTTATAAAATAATCTTACCTTAAAGCCATTTAATTGGTAGAATCTATTAGATATGCATAGAATTTGAAACCAGATTTGATCTTCAGATTTAAATATTATAATTTTTTTAATTAATAATTTGAATTTAAATTTGAATTCAAAACCAAATTTAGTTTCAAATTCTAGATATGCAATACCTAATTTTAAGTTAAGTTGTATGAAAAGTTTTATTAATTTCAACTACTTCAGTTGCAAGTGAAAGAAATTGGTCTTCTTATGGGTTTATTCATTCAAAATTGCATAATCAAATGCTTACTCAAAAGGCAGAAAAACTTGTTTATATATATTGGAATACAAGAATTCTTCATCAATTAAAAAGATCTATTTTAGTAAAAGATTTGCAAAACAGTAATATAGTAGAACAAAATGAAAATCATAATAATAATGAAAATGAAAAGCTTGAAGACAATTTTATTGACTTTTCAAACAGGTTTCTTAATATGTTTGATAATGATGAACATGAATTTGATAATTGTCTTGAAGAATAAATTTCATTTATTGTATAAAATTGTATTATAAATATAATAAATTTGATGATAAACATATTTGTGTATTTAATAATTTTGACTGAAGTTTATTTAGTGCTGACATAGAATATCACATGTGAAATTTACATGAAATTCAATTCACTGAAACTTACATCAAATTACATGAAATGTAAAATTGTAATTTTTGTAATACAACCCTAGGCCCCTATTGCAAATCATACAAATTGTAAAAAAATAGGCGAACTTTAAGGCCTTGATTAATTATACCTTTATTCTTAACCACAGTTAAAATTTTACAAGAAGAACCTTCAAATGTTAATGAATAGACAAAATCCTTGCACAGAATTAAAATAACTACTTCTTACCACTAAACGAAAGCTGGGAAGCTTATTTACATATGAAAGTTTAGATACATCGATCATTTGACTATGATACAAAAGATCTGCGTGACAAATCGTGACTGATATGCAATTTTGCGTTACACGAGATCTTGAATTTTTGCTGTGCCACAAACCTGACACACATTCAAGAATTGCTTCGATACTACAGTACTATAACATTACCGTTACGGCATTATGGCATTACGCAATCATGTACTGTTCGTAATTCAATAATTCTACCGCCAACTACACGCTCATATCTTAAAAATATGATAACTTGTTAACTAACGTTAATGATCAAAATATGAATATTGAATTAATTATATCTTTAAATATTTATTGATATCAACTTTAAAAATAGATAAAATGATGATATATAATAAATGATTGTGCTCTTATTTGGGGCCATTTTTTTTGTTTTGCGCACACTTAAAAAAGTTCATGTGCACTGCAGCGCACCAGGATCGATATGTAATGTGCGGTACGCCCACGTTCTTTATGCTAAATTTTTGATACTGTCTGTCACGACTATTTTCTCCAATAACTAATGTTCTCGGCAACTTAAAGATTCCTGGCGTAGGAAGTCAATAGAATCGGGATTAAGTGTATAAGCCGCGTTTATTTTAAATCCGCTTAGTAAATTGCTTCGAGGTTTTAATAAAAAAAATTTTTTCTCGTGTAACTATGACTCTTTCTAGGGATGGTAAAAAATCATTTTTCACCGATTTACGATTATCGTTATAATCTGGATATTCTGTGGTTTAAATTTAGTATATTCGGATCATAATCATCACACGTTTTTAAATCGGTAAAAAATGATTTTTTACCACCCCTAACTCTTTCTAGCCTTAAGTCCGCGTGAACGGTAATAATGCCGTGAATGGATTAGTAACAAAGAGAATCATTTTATGCCGTAAATAAAGATACTTTCATTTGCAAGATAAATTTTCGAGCAGTAACATTACAGTAACAGTGAATTTGATATAAACTCACTCTCATAATAAAATGTTATTAACTAAAAACATCATTCGTCATAATATGTTTGAAAAAGTTATTGCATTCAAAATTTAAGTCAACTATTCCTTTTTTTTTAAAATAAAACCAAATTGGACAAAATTTTCCTATAAAATTACCTTAATTTTCTAACAAAAGGATTCATGTTTCTCCGGACTTCTCCTGTGACCAAAAGAATGTGCAGAAAAACGGAAGTTGGATGATAAATCAAAATTTTTAAGCGAGTTTCTATATAAATTATTATTACTATTTTACACATATTATAAATAAAATTAAGCAAAAAAGTGCGTGGCTTGCCAACACAACAATAGAACATGAAAATAAGTAACCTTTATTTTTTGATTATTAATTAATAAATTAGCAACATTACATGAAGATTATCCTCGAATACTACTAAAAAAAGTCATTGTTACAGGTTTTGCAATTAATTATATTCGTCTAGAAATAATTATTAATTTGAGTATGGTTATGTATATGTTTAAAAGAAAGAATTCTATCTATAGTTAATGATCTTAATCATACAACATTGTATCATAACGTTGTTGAGACTTTTCACTGGACGTAGGAATAGTTTTAACATCATCAACAATGTAGCTTAATTCATAAGGACCATAACTCATTGTAGTTATTCCCTGGCGAGTTGAACCAGCATATTTAAGACATCCTGGTAGGAAACGTATTGTTACAATTAAGTCATGCTGGGGTGGTGTGTCGGTTAAGTCTACTTTTTCTGAATGAGTCACAGCTATATAAATGCACAGATTTTTTTTTTAGTCAGCAAATAAAAAAAAAAGCAAACAAAGAATATGAAATAAAGCTGACCTTTTACAACATCTGAATCATCAGTAAAAATATCAGTTCCCCACGCAATAGTATCTTCTCTTGTTGCATTGATAATTGTAAGCCATCGCGACTCAATTAAGATTTCAACCGTTTCTCCAATTTTGCCTTTTACAACATGCGGGTAAGTACAAACTTTATCAACGGACTGTTCAAAAAAAAATTCAATTATCATTTAAGAATTTGATTATCATTTAATATTAAAAAAGAACAAAAAACTACATCTACCTTTGGTTTAACGTACAATCCAAATACTGGGATCCTTGAGGATCCCAATGCCAAAGCCAATTCATCTTCATAAGTAATAATAATTTGATCGTTATCATCGTCTATATAATACAGTTCAATTCTTCTATCATAGCTTACATTGAAACGTTCGCGCAGCTGTTAAAAATGGTTTCACATAGTTTAAGTAGAATGATATAATTATGATAATATAACATCAATTATTTTTTTTACCTTATATTCTAAATCATCTAATCTAATGTCTTTACTGACAACAAGTTTACGAGCAACTAATTCTCCAGAAACAACATGTCTTGCTTTAATAATAACGTTTTCGTCGCCCATGTGGATTTGATTCATTTTATGTAAACCGTTTAATAGAAAAAACAGAATTTGTTTAAAGAACTTAATTTTCGAATTTAATTGAAATTTTAAACGAGTTTTATAAGAATCTTAGATTTAATAGCCATATATAGATATTATATGAATATTATATGGAATATCATATAATAAAAAACAAATAAAACGTTCAAATATATACGTACTAATATAGACAATGATTCCCATTTATGTTTAATATCCGTAATGTTTATCATTATCTCACATGTCGAATATCACTATTAACACTAATTATATGTTATATGTCGATATTAATTATTAAGTGGCTTGAGTATCAAAATATTTTATTTCATATAATCGCCAATAATAATATTGTCGTGCTTGAAGTTAGTATCTGCTTGAAGTTGTAACTTCAAACGCCTTAAGTTGAAACCGCCTAAAATTACCAACTAACGCGGGCAAGGAAGATCTATTTCAGGGGTTAATTTTAGTTAGTGTGCCTAAATTGGTAACTTCGAGCAGATGGCAACTTCAAGCACGATAATATTATTATCAATTATCAAATAGACGCGTAAGTACATAAGCCGTTCTGCCAGTTTGTGAAACAATTGACTAATTTACAATAAAACATCAAAGTGCACAAGAATTTAACATAATGCGTAATGTATGTCACTTTTTTTCTAAAAACATTTTTTATTGGCCAAAATGTTACTTGGAGGTTGTAAAAATATGAATTTGTTTATGAATTTGTACAATGAATTAAAAATTTTCCAAAATTTTGAAATTATGCTCTATTTAGTAGCTTAATCTTGTAAAATAATATATTGCTAAATAAAGCTAATTAGGTACTTATTCTACTTAACTTTAAAACAAAAGAAAATTTTTTATAATCAATTTTCATTTAGTAGTTTTCAATGAAATTCATCTCATGACGGAAAAGTTTGATGATCACATAACGGAATAGATTCTTTTTCCACAACCTATTTAATTCTGGTCCAATCCGCATCAAATTTGCTTATTCATATTTTTCGAGAAATAATGTAGCATCATGTGAATATAGCGATCTTAAATTTATAAGTAATTTGATTATTATTGTTTATCCTCAAGGATCGCCTCTACAAATATGATTATATAACGATTTTCACTAAGAGGATCTTATAGCGAATTAAATATTATAGGCTTATCTGTCGATTCTTATTGTGACAATTGGCTAAATATACTTTATAAGAATATTATTATACCTTGCACATATTGAAAATTTACCTGCGAATTGTTATATGCTGAAATTTGAAATAATTTTAGATACCATATTGTCAAGGTTTGCCTGCTAAAAGATTTTGATTCACAAATATAATGATAGTGCTTTCTTTCTATAAAATTTTTTATTATCTGCAATTGTTAAATAAATAAATTATTAAATTAAATTTATATCTACTATATAACAATATAATTTAATATTAAAAAAAATTCAATATAACAATAGGATAGAATAGGCAATAATTTCAAATAGTGCAATAGAATGGCAATAAAGTTGTGGACATGAACCTTGCGTCCCCAATCCTATTATACGATAGAATTTTTTCACAATGATACATATACTTATGTAATGTTAACTATGTATATACATGTAATCCTTTTAGCTTATAATTAACAGAATCTTATATTTTTGTTGTGCTACTATACAACCTTATTTTAACACTATAATTCATTAAATTTGCGGATTTGATTTACTCGTTTAATTATATATAATAGTAAATTAAAATCTTTTGCAGTAGAAGTAATAAAATGTATTATTAAACAATTAATTATAAAGGGCTCACCTATATTGCAAAGAAATCCCGAATTACAAAGTTATGAAACATCATTCACAGAATATAGAAATAAAATTTAATTTGTAAGTTAAGAGTTGGGATTCAAAATTGTGTAATAAAAACAGAATAATTAAATCTGTTGCTATAAATAGACATTAAATATTTTGCTATAAATAGACATTAAATCTTTTGCTAGAAATAGACTCTTAAAGTGTGGTCTGACATTCTAAACCGATCATTTTTTAATGAAATCAACAACTTTATAGAGTTTGTTGTCCCTTTCAAATATTTCACCAACTTATTCTTACTTGGAAATTTAAATTTTCCATTTTTTAAAAAGAATACTATAATAATTATCTGCCATATGCGTTAATTGACCAATATTTATATAAACTTCATAAGTTTTTAATCACTTATCTGGATTTGGATCCCAGCATTGAGTGATTAATTCGGCATATGCAGTTGGAATATGTATTGGATAATATTAAAAAAAAAACTTAATAACATAGCAAAAAAAATCCAGTAAAAGATTAACATATACATAATCCTATATAAATTAAGATCTTGATCGTAAGATTTCATACATTTTGGGATCAATATCAATATGCTGTCAGGCAGATTTTTAAAAATGGATTTTTTCGAGAATTTCTTTCTATAGCTGAAGCACAATGTATTATTGGAATTAATAATATCGAGCTAGTATGTTGAAAACTTCAAGCTCATGCTGGAGGATATCGCTGGGAGTATGTTATGCAATAAATATTTAAATGTTTCCAATTAAATTATATTAAAATAGCTTTATCTGTTTAGCAGTGCATAATTTACATCTTCATTATACTAAACATCTTGTTTATAATATAAAGTTCCTTTTTAGCAAAATTCATTATCCAAGAATCAAATTCGAAAATTTTGCAATATTTATAAAAATCAAAAAATTCATTTCTTCTAATCATTCACAATTATTAAAAAAATAAAAATTTTGTTTACAAATCAAATCTAATTGATTCAATAATTACTATATGCTGTAAGCATTATAACTATTTAAAATAAATATTACCAAGCAGATTACACAAATCGAAATTCATAAATATTGGATTATTACTATACAAAATATATATAAAAAGCTTACTATTTTTTCATAAATATTATGGCAAAATGCCAATGAAAGTACAAATAAAGAGTAAAAAATTTGCATAATAAAAAATTTATATTCTATTAATTATTTTAACAAATATTTGTGTTACAAGTATATTAATGTATTGAACTTTTATTATTATTACTAATTTGTCTAATAAGTTACTTATAATTGGTTGTTTCTCTATTCTAATGATACTTTTTACAATTTTAATCTTTTGCACATTATTATATTATATAATTCTTTTTTATTATAGTATTAATATTCTTTTTTCATTATAGTATTAATTATATTGTTATTTTTTTATTATTTTCTTAAGGTACAAATAGAAGAAACTTTGTTTTTTTAGTAATTTATTTAATATGCAATACTTTTTCAAACATTTTAAAATAAGTTTTTTCTTTATTAAGTATAAATTATTTAATTATTATTAAACAAGATTATAATTATTTATTACTCTTTTCAACAATCCTTTGGCTAACAACAACAACAAACTAAACTACAGAAAAACATTATAGCAAGGTTAAGAAAGAAAATACTTCTGGTCCTACATGAAGTATGTTATTGTCAACAAAGCTATAATAAATGTAAAATACTAAGAAGCAGGTGTATTTGCAGTTATTTGAAGAGAGGTTAAGTTTTTCTTTTTAGTAAACTTTTCTTTCTATTCAGTAAAACTTACTTAAAGAATTATATATAAAAATTATTGTCTCTCATTTTTCTTCAAAGAAAATTTTGTAAAAGTGAATGATTTAGTTTATCTCTTTCTAAAGATTGATATATAAAATTACTAAAACAATCATTAGTATTTATTTCTTAAACAAGATTAATACTAATATAGAATGAAAATAATACAGCAACACAAACACAATTTATACATATTCTTCAAATCATTAAAACTTTATGAAATATTGTTTTTAAACTAACTAATGATCTATATTGACTCTCTATATTCAAATCAAAGTTTTATTTTATATAGTTTTTATTAAATATTCTAAATAAATAAAAAAATAGTAAAGTTAATTCTATTTAGTATAGTTTATAATTTTTAAAAGCCTAATACAGTCTTATAATTATGATCATCCAATAGTCATATAATAAAAGTTACATATATATATATATTTTTCTTTTTTCACTTTTTCTCTTTATTATTTTATTTTTTGTATTGTATTTTTTATTATTTTCTCTTATACCTATATATTTTTTTTATATATAAGTTTTTTTTGTTTTTGTTTACTTCTTTACAAGAAGATATTAATAGATTAACAATATCCTATTGTAGAGTGATGATCAGATGTAACCTCTAATGTACTTTAATTTTTTCTGAAGTTAGATAGTTAGTGTAGACAGATTGCTTATAGGGCTCATATAAGTATTTATATAATATTAGACCAAAAATTTTATACATATATATACAAAAAATCATAACAAAAGTGAACTAATAAGACTGCTCAAGTGAAGAAAAAAGAAATATTATAATTATTAAGAGTAGAAGATATATAGATCATTTTTATATAGTTATATATAGTATATTAAAATTTTTATCTAAAATTAATATATATTACTAAGAAAACTTTTTTATTTTTTTATTAATTAATAAAAAAATTTTATAATATTATAAATAAAATTATTTATCTATAAAATTATTTATCTATTATAATAAAAATTTTTTTTCTCTTAAGTAGTCATGTTAGTATTTTATTAATATTTTAAAATTACATTTGCAATTATATAAATATTCTTAATAACTAAGCCTAATATTACTTGGCCACTCTAATAGTATCTAAGTGCAACCTGCTACATTACTTCAAGCATAAGTAAGCTGCTTATCTAACTACTTAAAGTCTATAATAAAAAAGTCTTTTTTCTTTTTATAACAAGCCCTAAAAATGTCTTTTGTACTTCTTTTCTAATTTGTTTTCTTTTTCTTTTGTTTTCTCTTCTTTTTCTTTTATTCTTTGCTGATTTGGGTTTCTTTTTTTACTTAATGCTTTTTCCTCTTTTTCTTTTTTCCTTTTTATTCTATCTGTTATTTCTTCATTTTTCTTCTATTTGTTAAT